ACATCCCTCTGGGGTGACTTCTCCTCTGTTTGTTCTAGGACCCTACAGGTTCCTTCAGTTCTGAGCCAAGTTTTATATTACTTCTTGGCCCAGGGTTTCCACAACTGGCAGGTAAGGCAAAATCCAACCCTGTATCCGCCCATAGCTGGGGCTGGTTTTTTGGAGCATGACATACTGTTTTTTTTTTTCACCAATGGCCTATTGGCTTGAGGGTAGCACTTTTCTAGTCCCGTTAAGGGACAAAACAGTGACTTCTGGTTCTTGGATTTATGTGAGGATCCAGTCCCAGCTGCTCACTGTGCACAAGGAGCCTAGAACCGGGCCCCTCCCAACTGCAGTAAGACTGAGCCTAACACCCGCCTAGCCCAGGCTCGGCTGCTACGGCCATCTCACATGGCACCTGCGTTAGGTTTGCTGTTGTAGTTTTTGCTACGTGCCTTCTCCTACACGGAGTTCCTTGAGGACGGGGTCTGAGGTTTTGTACCCCATCACAATGCTTCCCACAGGGCCTTGCACACAGATGTTCTCATTGGACTGAACTGTACTGTAATCGCCTCAATGTTCATAGGTAGAAGGCTTGAGCGGGGCCTTTCTATCCGGGGCCTAGTTCCTTATTGTTGGTGGGATGGTGGGGTCAGTGCGCCGTGCAGAGGTGCCAATTTTTATTTTCTGCTCATTAAAATCAAAGGAAAAAGGCAGGCCTCTTGCGGGCAGAGTTTACTCCAGTGCAGCGAACCTCTGCGCTGCCATCAAGTGTCACGTTCTGCTACCTCAGCTTCACATGCCAAGACAGAAAAAGCAGCAGGAAGACGTGTTTAACATTTATTCCCAGGTTTCTTTTTTCAATTTCCTCTGAAATGAATATGAATACACTATGGTCTTTACACTCTGCAGGAGCTAATCCCCCACTGGAAGCTTTGGGGAACCTCATTCCTTCTTGCGGATACAATCTGTCGACACAGGCGTTCCTTCAGGCTCTTCTGAAAGGCCCATAGTGGACAGAGCTGCGCTCTCTTTGGAGCTCTATTACACTTATAACTATGGGTTGTTTTTTTTTTTTTTAAGAAAATAACATAGGAATTGCTTCCAGAACCCAAGTGCCTGTGTGAAACGCAGCCTTCTCTTTGAGGCAAGGCTGCTTTCAATGGCTCCTCCAGGCAGTGAGCGTGTCCCACTGCCAGAGGGGCCAGTGACTGAAGCCTGAACCCGCCCACATGCTCAATAGGAAATGTGTACTTTCGCCGTTGAAAGAACCATGAGAAGAAAATGATATTTTTATAAATGAAAGCGCTTAATAAGTATTATTCACTAAGTAAAATCATATTTTACTTGAATGTCTTGGACCATGTATCAATTTCATTAACCAAGAAAAAAATCTAGCTGAACTATGTACCCCTTCTAGTAATGGCAACAAAATTCTCAATATGTATCCAGTGAGCATGTATTAATTGTTTACTGTGTGCATAGCACTATAAGGAGGCTCTGTGGAAGCCTTTTGTCAAATAAGTCTTTGATCTCAAGAAGCTTCTTTTTAGGGTACCTAATTTATTTTGTGGCTAACTCGGTAGGATAAAAATTGTCTTCAAACTGCTAATCCCATTGAGATGATTTCAATTACTCAGGGCTGCAGAAGGCTATCTGTTAAATTATCTGTCCAGGCCCTTTCTCACATTTGTGCTTTTAAATCACACAGAGTATTTTCTCAGTACAGAATAAGGATCCCTCATTATAAAGCATCCCTAGGTCTCTCCGTGAATCATATGGAATGACAATCCATCTTCGAGTTAGAGTCAAAGTCATATATCTCCCCCCACGCCATCTGATGAAGCTTTCTGCTGGTTTCCTGGGTGGCCAATCACATGACAGATATATGACTTTGAGACAAGAACTGAAATAAAATTCCTGTAATACCCTTAGGGGGGAGGGAGATGGTCACTGCTGAGCATTTTAGTCAATGACTTAATTCCCTTTAAACTTCCCTCCACCCTTGCTTACAGCTCTGAACTCAACCTAAAAGAGCTGCATAGTTTACCTACTGAATCCACAATACTTCCAGGTGCGTTAGCTTTGTGAATTTTCTTCCAAGGATTTCAGGTGCTAAATGATACATAACATGTGCCCCGGGAGAGTTTATTCAATCCTCTAATCAGCAACCTCAAGAATGCTTCACGCAGGTTGGACAATGGGAGAAAGAAGGCCTCAGAAGCAAAGCACTCGGTGTTGCCAGAAAGTACATTTTTGATGGCACTATCACACTGAAACTGGAGACCAGCTGGTACGCTCTTAGACACCATCGTCAGGTGGCTGTGAATGGCACATACAACCCCCAATCCTCCAGCTCAGCCCCTAAATCCCTCTCGTCCATGTAACAGCATCACGAGGTGGAAGCAATGTCGTAGATGTGAGACTTCCACCCCAGAGATCCACGTCAAGGGGAAGAAACACATTCCCTGAGCAGTCATTCCACAGTTCCCATGTCTGACTCATAACTCAGTAAATGGCCATTCCATCCATCCAGCTCCTCAGACCAAAGCCCTGGAGTTATCTTTGACTCCTTTCTCTCACTCAGCATCCAATGTGTCAGCAAATGCTGTTGACTTTACTTTCAAAATATATCAAGAATCCAACCACTTCTCACCACCTCCATCACTTTTACACTGGTCCAAACCACCATTACCTCCCCTCACTGGATTCCAGCAACAGCCTCTAACTGGGTCCTGCTCCATCCTCACCCTCACTGTCAGGTCCCCACTCAGTAGCCAGAGTAATCCTGTTACAACTTCAGTCAGATCATATCACTCTTCTGCTCAAAACTCTGCAATACCCCCTTTGTCCAAGGCACACAGAGTAAAAGCCAGGGTCCTGACAGTGACCTCCTGGGCCCTACAAGATCCCTTCCCCCAAATCTAAAGTAACCCCTCCCACTTCAACCAATACGTTCCAACTGACACACCTATGTCAGTCTTTGTGATGCTCTTCTGACAGGCCAGTAGCATTTCCATTTTGGGTCTTTACACTTGGAGTCCAGCTGCCTGCAACACTGCTCCCAAAGAACACATGGGTTGTTCCTTCATCTCCTTAAGTCTTTGCCCAAAGGCCACCTTCCGAGTAGGGCCCACCCCGATCATCTCTAAAATTGCAACTCCCAACTCCTGGCACTCCTCACCCCTTCTCTGCTTTGTTAACTCTATGACACTTATCATTACCTGACAAACTATTTATTTACTCACATACAGGTTGATAATCTGTCTCCCTCTACTAGACTCTATGCTCTAGGAGGGCAGGAATTCTTGTCTGTTTTGTTCACTGCTATGTTTGTAGCACCCAGCAATGATGCTGGTCCTTAGTAAGTATTCAGCAAATATCAATGAATGAATGAATGAATGAATGAATTTATTTTTGGACTGTGTGCCATGTACTTTACAACTCTAGACTTTGATATGTTTACTCCCAGACATCCCTTGACACACATACCACAATATTTTCAGAGTCTGGAGCAGGCTGTACTAAAGGAGGAAACAGAAGGCCTTATAAGATTTCTGGAATCTTTTTGGATCAGATTCCATCCTTTAGAAGGCGAAGTTACACCAAGGTTCTAATGTATAGACAGGCCCATGTCAGCAGATCAGGGGAGTTGATCCTGGTGCTTTTCTGTGTGTGGATCTACATCTAGTTTTAGGGGAGCTGGGCATGGAGCCATTGTGGGAAGACAAAGCACACTGGCCGCCACGGCCATTTCTGCCTGTAATACCAACCACACACTCATGTCCAACACTGAGATTTTCTCCTATGAAACAGACACTCCCTCAAACAGGAGTAGGACTGCAGAAAAGAAACTTTCCAATGGAAACTTGGGAAGTAAGAAGAATGTACTTACATGTCCAGAGATTCATTTTTTGATTTGAGATTGGTTTGGGGTTAGGGTAAAGTGGAAAAGGAAAGTTGAGAGTAATATGCTTTTTTGAGGATTCTATTTTTTACAAAGAAAATAAAGATAACATGGAAAAGAAATACCTGATCAGCATTTCAATCAGTAGTATTATAAACATTTTTTTGGAGTTTATATGTGTGTGAGAGAAAGTAAGTACAGAAGGAAAAATTAAAATAACACATTTTTTTTCCAAAATGAAGTTTCTTAAATAGATCTGTTCTCTCTGCGTCTTTTTCTACTGTATAATCCCAAATTATCAGTTCACAGATTAGTCAATTTGATGACAAGAAAAAACAGTGTCATTAAAACCAGTGTTTCTCACTGAAGCACATCAGAATCACTTAATTCTGTTCCAAATACTGGAAATCACTTCATAACATTTTCCCAAAGAAGTGATAAAAACAAATATATAAAGTTTAGGTGAAAATTGCTGCAAAAGTTTGCATCTGCCTAGACATTAGATTATTTTTTAAACATAATGATTGCCATGGTAAGAAAGATAGAAGAAAATTACATGGTTCACTTTAGACTAAGTTGCTTAGAGAGAGACAAATTCCTCAACCATACGTCTATGATTTTCCCTACCATTTCTCATTCCAATGACTACTTAAGAGGAAGCAAAACCAGTCGACTGGAGGGGTGTTACTCCTGATGAAACAACAGTGTTTTCCCATTATTTCATTTTTGCAAATAATGCGACTCCAGCAAGACTGTGCATCCCTTCAGAGGAGAAGTTGTATCTTATGCTGCTCTTGTAAACAGGCACATAGTAGGTGCTCAGTAAATACCAACTGCCTTAACATTTCTGCTGGCAATGATTTAAAACCAGGACAAAGGACAAAGGTTTTAAAATCATAAGCAGGCGAAGAAAAATTGGCCTGTACAAGTCAAGACTCCCTGTGAAAAAGCAAAGGACATACAAGGAAAAGAAAATGATGGAACAGACGTGCACATTTGTGTTACACAGCAGAGTGAACCGCATTTCAGGAGTTTCAAACAACACTCTTAAAAAGTTAGCTTTGAAATAGGTATTTGGAAATGTGAATTCAGAGCTAAAATAAATTCTTACAGTTTTCATCCTGGGCAATGCATTGTAAAGGGATCCCAAAGAAAGACGTATAGCTGTCATTGTACCACACCAGAAGCTCGGTACCCCTGGGAATATCTATACAGGCTCGGTAGAATATATTCGACCTATTCAAAACAAAAGAAAACCCAGCTTAGTAATCGGTAGGACTCATGTGCCCCATCCACACTTTTATTGCCCCGAAAAAGTTCTGCCCAGCTTTCCACCTAAACAGTTTCTGTTTGTAATAAAATCTGCACCCACCTTATCGTTCCCAACAACCAATTAGAGCCTGTAACCTGGTATGATAAATAGCTCACAGTTTATTTCCACAGTGTCCCTCCACAGAACCTCTTGGCTGAAGAGACAAGATATTTGGCCCGGGAGACAGCAGAAAGGAAGAGTTCATTAAAAAAAAAAAAAAAAAATTCCATCTCATACTAATGAGAAGATTCTCTCTATTGGCAAATTGCAGACTCCGGTGCCTCAACCTCACATATAAATTAATACTATTGATTTATTATTTGAAGGGAAAGTGTTGCATATATTCTTACAACTTGGCATTGGGAGTTCTCTAATTTGTAATAAAATTAAGCAGCTTTGTGATATAAGGACTGAAAGAAATAAAAGTCTTCTCCATTGCCTTTTTTCCTAAAGTTTGATACAGGAGAAGAGAAAAACCCTCTTATGTGAAATGAATGGAAATTCAGTAAATACAAGAGGAGCACTTTACTCTGGCTGAAAGATTACACTCTGAAATGATGGAGTGAAGGTACCAAGAAATAACCACTTTTTTATAACAGCTGTGGCACTGTAAAGAAAAATCTACAGATTAAAAGAAAGAGGAGCCTGCGACGGGTTTTCTCAATGAAGAATTGCTACAAATATTAGCCTCAAGTTCAAGATAAAAGTGTTTAGGGTTGGTGGACCTTAAGTTTAGCCTTTCTGTAAGGAATTGGCCGTAGCAGGGCAATTTGTTCCTTGTGTAACACTGCAGACATAATGCGAAGCCTTCACCACATTTTTCATGGCAGTGAGATATGCACTTGTCAACATATTTTGTCACCACAAAGTGGCTCTTGGCAATAGGATCATAAAGATCAATAAAAAAAAGTGCAGATTCTCAATATTTTACTTGCAGCTGCAAAAATTTCATTTATCTTGTTATTTTCCTTACTTGCTGCCATTCTGTCTCACGAGGGCACTGCTAGCTAAGCAGAGTGTTTTCTCCCAACATTCTATGAATATCTGACAAAAACTCCAGCCAGCTGTCTGGACCTCACTCCCCTTCCTCCCTCCGCACCTCCAAGAGCTATGCATTTTATTAATTCTTTCCACTGCTACATAAAAAAATCAAAATTGGAGCCGGGCTATAAATCACTGGCATCTCCTAACTTGAGAAAAATTGAGTCGACTTTGTACTTCACCCTTGTAACATTTCATCTCTCGGTTTGGCTTCCCTTAATATAAACACAGCGCCCGGCAAATGAATGTGCTAAAACCAAATGACACACTTTGCCGCTGAAAGAGCAGAACTGTTTTCGAGCAATGGGTGGTCTTTGGAGGCACAGAGTAGGCCGAAAGGGGGAAAAAAATGTGTAAGCGTACACCGTTCTTTACAAGCGGGCAGAGCTTCCAAAACTCGCAGAAATCTCTGCATGTTGAAGCACATCAAAGGGATTTTTCCCTTTTCAGATAATATTTCCTTTGCTGACATGTATTTAGTATTGTGGTTGGATGACTCATAAAGATAGCTTCATGGCGTCCCAACGCAGCTGAAGCAGAACACACGCCAACAAACATTATTGTCAGCCTCAAAATAAAAACAAAACGTTCAGCTAAGGGTCAATCAATCAAGGGTTCTTTGAAGAAAATTCCATTTAGATATTACAAATCATAACAGAATGAATCTAAACCAGCTGACTTTTTGTGAAGAGGACATTCATGTACAATAAAAATTAGGCTAGCTCTTCGGGGTCCAACTTTTCTATTTTCTTACTCTTGGACGTGGTCACTGGTGACGGATGCCAGTTTTTAAATTGTGTTTTTGTAGTTCATTTTATAAAGATCTGAAGTAATCGAAAACAGATCGGCAGAGAGAACTTGATGTGTAAGTGCCATCAGGAAAGGGAGCAATAAAACCCACTTAACATTGACAGAAAGGTAATGACTTGCTCATACCCACCTTCCTCGTAGGGGTTTCTTATTTTCCCAAAGTCAGAATTTGCCTCAAGAGCTCCCTGGGTGCCCATGACAGAACCAGCCAATCTATCTCTTGCCAAATGGAGAAGCACAACCTTTACTAATTTTCTAGCTCCGAGTTTTACAAAAACTTCATGACAGAGATGCAGCTGCAGGGAAGGTGGGTGAAGCCCATATACAGACTGTAACCAGATCCCGTCGTACACAAGTTCGTTTAAACCCTTATGTAATGAAAGATAACTGCCTAGGAAACCAAGGCAGTGAGTCACATGCTGCCCAAATATGTTCCTTTTGAATTTGGAGGCCTTTGGAGAGCAAGCCAGATTTGTGCAGCCTTTAACCTATAAGGGGAATAAAGCTTTTTTTTTTTTTAAGTCTTCATTTAAAAAAAAAAAATGAGAATGAAAATAAATCGTCATAGGCAGGACTCCAAGTTGCCGAGCAAGGGCTCTTCTGCTTTGATGTGTCTGTGGTGCCTGGTAAAGCTAAACAGTTGCTTCTGATCCGAAAGGGAACACGGCTGTTTATAACTGAGGTCATATATTTACAGGGCACATGTTTTCGAGGGATTCTGAGAAAAGAAGGCTTAGTGGCAGGGCTTTTTTCCTATGGGATCTGTCTTTGCCTTTTTGTCTCCACTCCAGCTTTTCGCATTAAATGGAAATGCCTGACCAACAGGTGCACTGGGCAGGTGTGGCTTAGGCTCTGGGAATCCACCCTGCTTCTATGCCCCTACCCCACCCCAGGCCTCCCTATGAGACTCTGGGCAATGGGGGTGGCTCACCTCATCTTTGTTACCCTTTGGGCTTTGCCCAAACATCTCAGGAGACCAGGGCCTTCTCTATGCTCCGGAACTACCTCATCCCCTGAAACGTACTCTGAATTGTCGCAGGACCAAAGCCAAATGCTTTGGCACCTTTCAAGGGATCAGAAGAGGTTGCTCTGACTCAGCCAAGGCTGCCGAGCATAACGGTTTTAGAAAAGCAGCTTTGGGAGTGTTGAGAGTTCTTGATTTCCCATGCCTTTGTACAAATCAAACTGTTCTCCCTAGGAGACAGCCAGACCGCAGGGGACTGAAGGCAAGCGACCTGGGGCTGAATCTCTAAACTCCTGTTTACGTGTGGACACGTCTGCTCTGGGGGAAATCACTCCGAGTCAGTGAGTTCGCTGGGCTCACTCAGGCCATTATGAAAGTTCAGGTGATGATGTGGAAGTAACTTTATCACATGCAGTGAGTGAAAAAAGGCCTTCTCCTAACATCTTTCTTCCCGAATTCTCAAGAAATTACTGTTAGGAGAACTAAGGAGATATCACGAACCTAGCAAAAAAAAATTCCTGCCAGTCCTTGCAGAGTTCTTCAGGACTCTGCAGGATTTTTTCAAAACTAGCAGCAAGCCTGAATTTATATATGCAAGGCAAAGGGCTTCGGCTTTGTAAGCGGTAAATCAAGGTATACTTTACCTGTACTGAACTACTGTTAGATTCTGTTCTCCGCAGTGCCTTGCACATCGGATATACCTCATCCAGCTCGACTTACTAGGTTCCCCACCATCAATAAAGTGCTGTAGTGTCCCATCTTGGTCATATATCTAGAGAAGAGGTCAGAAGGTCAAGTAGTTAGAACGAATCATCAGCAATCATTTTCCCTGCTTCCCTTGGTGTCTTTATGTGTCGGCTGCAGCAATTTATTGCCCGTAGGTTTGCTAGTGCTTATGAATGCTTGTGGAAACTCAACCGGAATAACAGAAGAAAAACATTTTCTGGTGATGCAAGTTAATCACGTTTTTCTTATCGAGCCAATCTTCCCTTTATTAAATACATTTGTGGCATCTCAAGGATGTGAGTGACCATGTTTCCCAAAGAATATTTAACCTCTTTTGACAGGCTACTCTTAAGTAATGAGCTGCTGGGTAAACAAAGCAAGCTGAGAGGCGAGGCCACGCTGACATGGCTGGAACATCCACACGAGAGGCCCTCCTCTCAAACACATAACTGCTCGAAGGCATTCGGGAGGCAGGGACCGTCTGCTTAACAAGCTGGGTGACACCTAGCAGAGGTTGGAGCATTATGGAGCTGTTATCACACTGATAAAGCAGACTCTGATTCAGATGAAATAAACGGACTCTCACCTCGCAGAAGATGTAGGACTTCAGCTGTCAGGACCTGAAACTATTAGGAGAGGAGTCATGAAAAAAGAGAGACCCTCACAAAGGGAAAGAAAAAATAATAATAACTGTTTCCTATGGATTTTTAATGTCTTAACTAAGGTTGGTCTAATAATTATTGCCTTAGGCCACCTCAAGCAGATTTTCTTTCAAGCACATTCAAGGAAATGAAATCTGCTTCAAACCAGGCAATAAGCGTGGGACAAAAAGTCTTCTGCGAAACAACTGGCCAGCCTAGGACATGCAGAGTCAGTGCTGACAGCAGAGACAATCGGCTCTCACTTCCAGAAACCAGGTCAGCCCTGGGTACCTTGAAGGCTGTGGTATCTAGAGGAGTGGGAGATCCGGGGTTATATATGTACAGCAATTCTCATAGGTCATCCTCAGCCCTATGGGGTAGCCAGGAAGCAAGGGGTACAGTTCTCAGAAGGACCATGGCAAAACTGGACCTTTTCAAGTAAAATCAGCAGTAAGATTCTGTTCCCCAGAGCATCCTGAGAAAATATTTTTTACCTTTGCTAATCAGCCTTTCCACTTTTCCTTTCCAAATAGACACAGAGATAAGTCTCACAGAGAGCCTCACTGGTTACATTTCGGCCCTAAAATTAGTAGGGTAATTCATATTAATTTAGCTCAGTATTTCTATTCTGGAGGCCAAAGGGCTTAGTGATGACAGTTCTTTTTATCATCACCAGTCATTTTAAAATAGCTGATTTTTTTCTTTTTTTTTTGGCTTTTCTTGAACTCATTTGTCTTCACCCCCAATCTTTCCACTAACCCCCAGAAACAGAAGAGAGACACCAATCTAACCAATACAATTGTTGGAGAAGTTATAACTGGGTAGCAGGCCAGAGTGATTACAGCTGATAATCAATGTAGCCTGAGAAGAATGAAGAGATTCCTGGATGATATTATATTTAAGATTAATGATTTTAAATTCCTAGCTCGGGGATGATGGCAGAGAACGGAAACATTTCATGCAGTGGATACATCTGCTCTTCGAGCAACCTAATGACAGATTTCATATTTAGGTTAGGTTATTACACTGTACTTATTTTGTTGTTGTTGTCTTTGTTTTCATTTTAGGAAACTGGTTCAAAGGCTCAAAGTCTCAACCCTGAGTCTGCTGTTGACAACCCGTGCAACACTGAACACAGCCATCAGTTCTCTGAATGCCACTGTTTATCTATAACGGAGCCCAAAACGTTGATGATCCAGCCCCCTGCCCTGTCCTTCCCCCATGAACAAACCACCCATGACAGCTGCTAGTGAAAATAACGACACATTTGGAGAAGCGCAGTTCTCCTTTGTGCTTGTAGCTAATGTCCTCAACAGCAAGTAAAACTCTCTAACGTTTATATGTAGTTGTGGGTGTTGCCTTGAGCGTTAGCTCATTTGAACACCAGACACTAGCCAGTCAGTCTTGAAAATGAGTATAAAAAAGTGTTTCCTTCTTTATCCATTCATGTATATGTATAGCTGATTCACTTTGTTATGAAGCAGAAACTGACACACCATTGTAAACAATTATACTCCAATAAAGATGTTAAAAAAAAGAGTGTTTCCTCCCACACTGTTTCAACAATAGTCTCCTTAAACTAAGTATATTGTGATTACAGGAATCCTACAATTTTTGCCTACCTGGTGAAACTCCTCTCGCCTTGAGGAAAGAGGAGTTTCCTCAAGGAAACTCTCGCCTTGAGGAAAGTAGATGGCTATTTGTCAGGCTTTCCCCAAATATCACACAATGAGCGCATAGCACGAGGTTGAGCCTCCCTGGCTTCAGCCTGATACCGACATCACACGATTTCACATGAAACTGATGAAAATCCCATGTACCTAGTTGGATCGCACAAGTGTGCATCCAGTCAGAGTTGAGGAAGCTCATTCAACCTTGACACTGTTCTTTCCCTCAACCCCCCAGAGCCCAGCTATCACCAGATCCAGCTGAATCTGCCTCCTAAACATCTCTCCTTCTCCACCATCACCATCCTGCCCAAACCAGTTTCCTCTCTTGCCTGAAGGAAGACAAAAGTCCCTTAACTGATCTTCCTGCACCTTCTTCAGGCCCTTCCAACCTAGTCTCTAAAGTACAGCCAGAGTGATCTTTCAAAACACGAATCTGATGATATGCTTTTCAACCCCCCCAAAATAAAAACTTCATAAATGTCATAAAATGTCCAATCATAACAACATATATTCACAGCATGTGAAATTTCGTCATGGGGGCCCATCACGCTCATATGGGCAGCACCTCCAACCTACGTTATTTAGGGAGGTGGGTCGAAAACACGTGCCTTTGCAGTTGGCTCAAGACCATCCTGGAGCACTTTCTGGCTTCTGCTGTTAGGAGTTAACATTTAAACTGTGTTTCTTGAAAGTGAAACAATGGGCCAGAAGGCAGTGATGCCTATTTCTGTTCATTTTCCTAATAGAAGTAGAATAAAATTGGGAAAACCAAGATATCCACATGTGCACGCCAAAGAGGAACTAAAGACAACTTCTCAGAAAAGCTCTGGGTCCTAATTTGAGTATTATTATTACTCTCCATCATTAGCTCAAGTTTGCTTCCATCTAACAGCTTAGTTAAAAAAAATTTTTTTTAAAGAGGGCGATAAAATTCTGCGTGTATCTGAACTATACAAGGACACTGTTCCTGTATCCAGACGGGCTGACATTATTCCTTCTAGGAGAGAAGGAACCACGAGTGGGGAAATGTTTCAGCAGATTTCGGTCTAGAGTAGCTGCAACAATTTCAAGGTCGGGAAGTTGTTCTTGGAAGCCACATTAACATCTACATTTGTGTGACGCTAAAATGTAATTTTAAGCTAGATACCTAATAGGTCTAAAAAATTCAAGGAATCTAAGGAGATGTATTGATGCCAAGACCAAGAGTTATTTTGTTTTCATTACCTTTCAAAAGATTTAAAATAAGCAGAAAAATATCAAAAATCATGCATAAAGTGTTTAGACAATTTCCTCAGGACTGATGAAAATGTCAAAAAGGTCAGAAATTGTATTCATTCAAATGGTGAGAATGAAGGTAAGAGTTAAATTTAGATTAGGAAAAAAATTCCTTGAAAGAACCCTTGAATCAAGCATAGTTTTTCTGGAAACTGTGCACTTTTTTCTGAAAGAATATGAACCACCAAAGTTTTAATATTTGCTCTGTTTTCTCTAAAGAAGCTGAACAAATGACCCTCTGGAGGTAGGGGAAACACATGTAAAGAAACACACAGGACACTTGGTAGGAAAAGGGTTAAATTTTGTAATGGAAACCCCTCAAAGCTGTAGAAAGTATATTCATTTTACAAAGCTAGTCCTAGCATTGCTGAAAGGGAATATAAAATGGCACAGTCACACTGGAGAACATTTTGGCAACATTTTGGCAACAAAATAAAGTTGACAATGCATATTTCCTGTGACTCAGCAATTTCACTTCTAGGAAATTATTCCAGTGAAACTCTGATACATGTGCCTAAGGAGATGAGTTCAAGGGCATTCACTGTAGCACAGCTTATAACAGTAAATAATTATAAATAAGAGAAATATCCATCATCAGAAGAATAAATTCATCGTGGTTTATTTATTCAACAAAAAAGTACAAAACACTTAAAATGAATGAACTAGATCTGTTTGCATTAAGATCTAGTTGATATAAACATCAAAAACATAATGTTGATTGAGAAAATCAGGTTGCAGATTAAAGTATATGATATCATTCGTCAACATTTCAAAATATACAAAATAACACCCAATAGTATCTTTTATGAGTGTATATCGTAATATACATATAGCAATATGCCTATCTATATGTATCTATACATATAGTACAATTCTGAACAGACACACAGGAAGGATTCACGATAACTTCATCAGAGTCATGGCTTTGGAAACAAGGGGATGGAAGGAAAACAAAGGGAACTCACATGTATCTGAAATGCTTCATTTATCTTAAAAAAAAAAAAGATTCTGAAGCAAATATGGCAAAGTGTTAACACTCACTTTTTTGGTGGCTTGTATATGGCATTTATATATTATACTTTGGACTTTTCTGATTTTTTTTTTTAAATCAAAGAGAGAAAAATAAATGAAAAGAAAGCCTAGCCATTTATTTCTCTGTACTTCAATTTTTGCATGTGTTGTTAAAATAGAGAAGCCTACTATCTTACCCAAGGTTAAAAACTGTATCTGTGTTATCTTCCTGGGAAACTCTTGGTAATATGTATCACTACATTATCAGCCACTGATTTCCTTCCTGATTGTTTTGTTGCTATTTTAAAACCACTGGTTTTGGTCTGTACTTTTTCTTTTATCCTATATCAGTGGGAGTAGAAAGATAAGTAAGGGGGAGAGCTCATTCTTACCTTTTTAAGGAACTTTTTATAGTTTTCAACCCAATATTTACTGAAATACCACACATG